TCTCTCTCTCTCTCTCTCTCTCTCTCTCTCTCTCTCTCTCTCTCTCTCTCTCTCTCTCTCTCTCTCTCTGTGTGTGTTTGTGTGTGTGTGTGTGTTGGGTGGGGGAGGCGTCGGGGGGAGGGGGGGGGCAACGACACTGCGCCCCCTCACATCTTCTGTGGTACTCTTCTGTGGTAGACAACTACGTGCCGGTGTGTGTGTGTGTGTGCACGCCACGCATCTGGCAAAGAAAGAAACCCCAGTCATTCTGTCGGCCATGTATTATCATGGTACGATTTCCCGGGCTAGTCGACCAATCTAAATGATCGAGTAGATTGACCGATTGATTTGTGGAAGGACGCCTTGATGATGAACGATATACTTTATTACCGTGTCTCGCTCTCGAGTGACACACGGTAATTGGCTAGTAGTAGTTACTCGGTCCCACTTAATCACTACCAGACTAATTACTACATTGCCGGATGTAATCAGTGTTAGACAACCGACAAGCCCTTTTAAAACTCCCCTCCAAGTGACTTTGACTTTGACTTTGACTTCTTCGGTCAGAGCAGTGACCAAACTCGATGGAGTTTCTAGGTTGGTCCGTTCATCAATCGATGAACTGGGAGTGGGAGTGGGTGACGTGTGCACGAAGCGCTGGTGACAAGTGTCGTCGCGAAACTTCGGTCGAACTTTCATTTTCTTGTTCATCAATAATGGGCCTCGCCGCACTACTCATCAAATGTACAAAATGAGAATGAATCTTCCGCTAGAACATGGAAAAATGGCACCGCCATCGTTTTTGTCTTTCGTGCATTTGGTGAAGTAGTGCGGCGAGCCCCGATACCAACCTCACTCACTTCGTGCGATGACACGCGGCAAGCAGCATGGCTGACAGCTTTTTGCCCAACCGACCGGTAGCGGTTGAGAGGTCTACACGTCGAACGCGTTGCAACCGGTAGTTCCCCTTTTCATTGCCTGTAAGATAACGCGTTGCTACCGGTAGTTCCCCATTTCATTGCCTGTGAAATATGATTCCTCCTTTGACTAGTTGTTGTACGACAAGCTTGCATGATGGGTGTCACTTAATTCACTCGGTAAGGAGCTGATGACCGCTGAGCACGCTCATCACTGGTAGATTGGTATTGATAGATTGATAGAGTGTTGGAAGAAGGATATCAGTCCATCGCGTATTTACCCGAAGACGAACCAGTGCGCACGAGTAACACGAGTTAAGTACGAGAAGAGTAAAACCTCCCATCATGCACGGTGAATTGACTAGATAACTGGACTGTGAACAATGAGGATATACAGCTTCCGCTGCTTTCTTGATTGATTGGCGGAAAGATCAGTCCTAGAGGGGTGACCACGTGTCAAATGAAGACGAGAAGGACCATCGATCGGTTGATCACCTGCATATGCCCGACAGCCTCTACACGTTTATATATATGTTTATATTCGTTTGTTGTCCTCTTCTCTCTCTCTGCCTACGGTTTACCGGGCAGTTCTGTTTGTGACGATATATATCCACTAAGATACGTGGCGGGCTGCAATCGATCGGTGATTGATTACTCAGTTGTAGCTGGCTGACCGTCAGGCGTGCGTGTGTCACATAGACGTACTGGGTGACCGGTCGATTTACTGACTGAAGCGCAAATGATGACGACGTTAGTTTGCGACCGTCTGGATGACGACCCGAGGCGGCGGTTTTTCTGGGAAGATTCATTTGACTGATTGATTGATTGGTTGGTTGGTGGTTGGTTGGCTGCTGATCGATGGTTTGTCGATTGGTTTTCTTGGTTGATCGATCATGTCACTGGTTGGGTTGGTCGATTGATTGATTGGGCTGGTCGATTGATTGATTGATTGGCCTGGTTGATTGATTGATTTGGCTGGTCGATTGATTGATTGATTGATTGATTGATTGATCGATTGATTGATTGATCGATTGATTGATTGATCGATTGATTGACGGACAAATGACTTTTGATAGAGCGATCGAACAGCTAGACAAAGTTTCTACGGACAAACAAATACGTTGACGTGCCACTTCCAACTCTATCTATCCGAATGCAATCCTCTGAGATGAACGGCAACAAGATATGACGTACATATGTACGTCTGACACGCTGATCAGGAAGAAAAAAAGACGCTCGATCTAATCGAAAACACGGCAAGATGATAGGCTATACATACGCATGTCTGGCACTCTAGTTGCGGAGAGAAAAGAGACCTCGATCTCTGCACGTGAAGAAGGGATTCAAGAAAAAAAAAACTCTTCACGACTACTACACTGTGTACTTGTACTAGTACTGTATTATGGTACACACACAGTTTAGTCAGCCGACACTACCCTCCAACTTGAGGCTCATGAGTTGATTAACCTCGGCCGCGAATTCGAGCGGGAGTTCGTTGAAGACGTCTCGGCAGAATCCGCTGATGATCATCCCGACCGCCTTCTCCATCTCGATCCCTCTTTGTTGGAAATAGAACAGCTGGTCTTCTCCAATCTTCGATGTGCTGGCCTCGTGTTCAACCCTAGCCGTCGGATCTTTGACCTGGATGTACGGATAGGTGTTGGCTCCTGCCGTGTCACCAATCAACATAGAGTCACACTGCGAGTAATTCCTCGCGTTATGCGCCGTCGGCCCCACCTGCACCAACCCCCTGTAGCAATTAACCGACTTTCCCGCCGAAATACCCTTCGACACAATGCGGCTGCGCGTGTTCTTGCCCACGTGGATCATCTTCGTTCCCGTGTCGGCTTGCTGCCTGTTGTTGGTCAAAGCGACGGAGTAAAACTCCCCCACAGAGTTGTCCCCTTTCAACACCACACTCGGGTACTTCCACGTGATGGCACTTCCCGTCTCCACTTGGGTCCAGGAGATCTTGGAACCCTTCCCCTCACACAACCCCCTCTTCGTCACGAAATTGTAAATACCCCCCTTGCCCTCCTCATCCCCGGCGTACCAATTCTGTACGGTCGAGTACTTGATCTCCGCCCCTTCGGCGCAGTAAAGCTCGACGACCGCCGCGTGAAGCTGGTTCTTGTCGTACGATGGCGCCGTACAGCCCTCCAGGTACGACACGTAGCTCCCCTTCTCCGCCACAATCAGCGTCCTCTCAAACTGCCCCGTCTCGCTCGCATTGATGCGAAAGTACGTCGAAAGTTCCATCGGAGAGATGGTGTTCTCGGGGATATAGCAGAAGGACCCGTCGCTGAAGACGGCGGCGTTGAGCGCGGCGTAGTAGTTGTCGGCCACGGGGACGACTCTTCCAAGATACTTCTTGATCAACTCGGGGTATTCTCGCACAGCCTCGGAGATGGAGCAGAAGATCACCCCCGCTTTGGCCAGCTCCTCCCTGAAGGTCGTGGCTATGGACACACTGTCAAACACCGCATCGACTGCCACGTTGGCAAGCCTCTTCTGCTCTCCCAACGGGATCCCTAGCTTCTCGAACGTCCGCAGCAACTCCGGATCCACCTCGTCCAGACTCGCCTTCTTCTCCTTCTGCCTTGGCTCGGAGTAATAGCACACGTTCTGTAAGTCGATCGGAGGGTACCGGTTGTCTGACCACGTGGGTTCCCTCATCTTCAACCACTGCCGATAGGCGTTGAGACGAAACTCCAGCATCCATTGCGGCTCCTTCTTCTTGGCGGAGATCACCCGCACTGTCTCTTCGGACAGTCCCTTTGGAATCGAGTCAGATTCGATATCCGTAACAAAACCCCATTTGTAATCCTTCTTGAGAAATTGCTGGATGACGTCGTCCTCCGCTTCTGGTTTGTCGAGGACAGAGGAGGAGGAAGGAGTAGATGACTCGGCGGGGATAAGAGACTGTGGCTGCGCTGCAGCGCGAGGGATGGACGAAAAGGAGGAGGAGGACAAGGAGGAGGAGGAGGAGGAGGAGGAGGGGGGCGTGAAAGACAAGGAGGAGGATTTGGATTTGGATTTGTCCTTATTGGGAAGAAAAACCGCGCTCCCGCCCAAAAACGAGCTGGATTTGCTGCTGCTGCAAAGGCTGCAGGCGGAGCCTTCGTAACGCGCCACCGATAGCGCGCCAGGCTTACGCGCAATTAGCGCCACCGGAGCGCTTACAGAGCTGGCTCCTTCTCCGCCGACTCCGCGCGCGGAATAGGCGACGAGCGCCGGCGCCGGCGTCGGCTTCGGCGCTCCCGCTGTCGCCGCAAACGCCGCCATCGCCGCCATCGCCGCCATCCCCACAACCTCTCCCCACCACTAGATCACAATCTCTGCTGCTGCTGCTGCAAGCAAGTCCCAATCTGGAAATCAACAAGGGCAGGCGTTATCGTATCCAATCTCGCACACCAGGCCAGATAGAGAACGACAGAAAACTCCGCCTCGGCTATGACAGAAGATTCCTCGGCTATGGCGTATGGCGGTGCGCAACCCGCACTTTGCCGTAGTCACAACCGATTGGTCGACGAGGTTAAGGGCGGGTAGGGGTTCGGTCCCTCCTGCTGAATATCGCGATAGCTCTACAGCTATGACGTGACGGTGCGATTGCGTGTGGGACATTTTGCGTGACATCCGGCGACTGCGCGAGATCGTCGATCGGAAAAAAATCGCACCGTCTTTCTGCGCTACTAAAAAATGCGGAGCGGTCCGTTGAGGCGGGAGTTCATTTTTCGGTCGTCGTGTGGGTTGCTCCGTTTATAGTTGGTATTTTCAAAATTACCCCCATAAGTTGATGCATATTCCAAAACGCCCTAAAAGATGTGGGTAGAGCGGAATGCCCCTCTGAGAAAAACAAGTGCTGTGAAATACCCCTACCCCTCTGAGAAAAACAAGTGCTGTGAAATACCCCTACCTAGCGTCCTTTGGACGTCATCTTTTCCATATACCCCTACCGGGTACTGTCCAACTTTGCAAAATGCCCCAGTACTTGACAAACTTTTCCTGGGCGCTTTTGCAAAAGGCCGAGGCCCAAACGGGGAGGTCCAGATTGTAAAATTGCACACCCGCCTGACAGGGGCTCAACTCAAGGATTTCGGCCCAAAAGGGCATTCCGCTCTACCCACATCTTTCAGGGCATTTTGGCATATATCTCAACGTCTGGGTGTATTTTGCAAATTATCCCTTTATTTAGGGCTGCGGTATAGTGGGCTTCGGCAACTGCGTCAAGGTGTCGCATTTTCGGCGGCGCGCGACCAGGACGCGGAGTGGTTTTTAGGGGGCAAAAGTTTGGGGGGGACCGGTCCTTGGCAAAATTGGGGACTACCTACAGGCAGCTCTGGAATGACCGGGCCTTTTGGAAAAAGCAAGGACCGGTCCTCGGGTGGAAGTAGACCCCAAAAAGAAGTGGAGGGCGTTGGACCAGTCCTCGGTAGAAGCGGACCCCAAAAAGAAGTGAGGGCATGTGAACTGCAAAAGGGCCCTCAGGCCCAGGCGTTGAGCCCATCTTCTCAAAACCGGGAGGTCGGCACAACGAAACAGGCGTTTTCCAAGAGGAACCTTTGGCGATTTTTTGTGCTCAGACGAACCCGCAGAAAAATCAGAAATTTTGAGAATCAATAGACGAGGTCCTGTTCTTCCAGGAATAATATAAGAACATTTTAAAAAAATCATTTAGAATGCGAAATAATCATCGCGCAGATTCGGCACATTTTCCATTTTTGCCACTCAGCCATGTGTGGGCCAACTAAAAAAGTACTCCAAATTCAGTGAGTTTTCGCACTCAGAAGACTACATGAAAAAACCTGAACATTGGAGAACTCGTAGATTTTATGGTGATCTTTCCAGGAAATACGCTCAATAAATTAAAAAAAATCATTCCAACTGGGAAATAGATCGCGGCCGCAATTTGACCCATGTTTCAATTTCGCCATTCTGAATCTCTTTCTCTCTCTCTCTCTCTCTCTCTTTATCTATCTATCTATCTATCTATCTCTATTTGTATCTATTTATCTATCTATCTATCTATCTATCTATCTATCTATCTATCTATCTATCTCACTTTCTCTCTCTCTCACTCTCT